GCGACCATGTGAGTTCTTGTGTGAGTGTTGTGATAGTACAGTAAGGCTCTCTTGTAGCAGTACATGTATATTAGTCCTTAGTCTCTATTGTATTTATTTTATGTATAGGAGCTACATTGTATAGGTAGTAATATAGCTACCCCACAAGTCATTCCTTCTCTTCATTAAACTGAATTATTGTACTAGTTAGTGTTATTCATGGACTATTATTAATGTTATTTTAGTTGCTTATTGCAGCAAGTTTTAAGTAATAAGTATGTGTCTCATTCACAAGCTTTTCTTTACTTGAAATAAAAAATTTTGATGTACATTTGTATTAACTTAAGATAGTCCCAAAGGAAGGAAGGGACAAGATATGTAGAAGGATAGCTCCATTGGACACTTGTAGACAAGGCAACAGTGACTACAAATGGTATAATTGCCATCAAAATTTTGAGGCAGAATAGTAGTAAGTGGTTCATATGCATAATGAGAAGAGTTGTAGATCAAGAAGTTTAATAGAAAGGAACGTGCAAGACATTATAGGTAGGAGAGAGTCAAGTATTGATCAAGTGTGGATGCATAATAATGTTTTTTTGTTTTATCAAATATTTAGTGTTTCTCTTATCTTGCAGGACCAATTAAGGTTAAACGATAAGATCAGGATTATGAAGAACTAATTGCATGTATTTTGGTGAGGAAAATGTGAAAGTTGTCAGTGCATGTTTTAGTTTCCTAAATCAATTTTGTTTTGCCATGCACATTTCCAACTCTGTATTCTACATAAAGGAATAAGATATAAATGTTTGCTTCCATTTCAACTCAGATATGAGTGTAGCTCTAGGTGCTGTTTATTATCATTGAAATTTGATAATTATTTTTGCTTAATACAGGTTTTCCCATTGTTATTGAACAATACTTTATGTTATTCATGTAGTTATGATTTTTTTAAATTTATTCTTGGAATGCAAAAATGTAAATATTTGTACAGTATAATAGTGGTGATGTTGTTATACCACACGCAAGTTTACTTACTGTGCAGTTTTGTCCATTGTAAGTGAACAATTAAAATAATTTTATTTATTTGCTATGATTTTAATAGGAACTGTCGTGTGACGGTAGCGAGGCTGCTATACCACACACATGCTAGCTAAATGTTGATTTATATTTTGTAATTGGTACATGCACTACAGTTTGTTACATGTAGATGACCTCTAGAATTTTGATATCAGTTCATGATCTGTTATTATTTTATTTGATGCTATAATTGCTAATTACTGAAATGAGTGATTTTTAGCCTCAGCAAAATTTTTGAGAAGGAAAATAAGACTCCTAATAATAATTAAAATTACTTCTTGGTGAAATTTTTTTGTAACATGATATATGGAGCTACATTGGTGGTTAAATAATTTAAATTCAATTACATGTACATGTAGCTATGTACATGTAATTAAAGTGTTTCCCATTTATAGGTATTATTCTTATAGGGGTGCAGGACTGCAGGTATTTTGCAGGTATAAGTACACAACAATGAGAGATCAGAGATGGCAGACTGAAGAAAATATGTTTTTTTATTATTTTTTTAATTACAAATATTTATGCAATCAAACCAAGCATTATCTATTATGACGTCACTTTATTGCTTATATCAATGCGCATGCAATCATCAGCTTTTTAGTGGTGACAATGGAGGAAAGAGGGAAAATGTCTCCACTCGATGGGAGACCAACACTGCATGAATTGACATGGCATATTAAAGTGCCTGTGAAGTGGCATGATTTGGGAGTTGAGCTGCAGCTGGAGCCTCGGTCTCTAGATGCAATTGATTTTAGCAAGCGCCCTGCTGAAGAAAAATCGTGTGCTATGTTTCAATTATGGTTGCTACGATTTCCCAAAGCTACTCGAAGAGATGTTCTAGAAGCTTTGAGAGTTATAAAAGAGAATGATATTGCAGAGAAATATGAAAAAATATGGAAAGAAGGTGAGCTGCACTATACAAAACAATTTTCATTTTTTATACATAGTTGAAAGTGAAGATTTAGCTGAGAACATTGAATATTCGATTGAGAGTATGCAAAAAATGGTATACATTTTGTTTTATATGTTCCCATACAGGATGCTGTTCACAAATTGAAAAACCGGCTGAAAATGAGCGAGACTGGGCTAAGAAGTTTCATTATTTAAAGGAAATGTTCGGTCGACATGTCTTGCCACCTATCAAGGAATCGATTCGTGTGGATGATGCCAAACGTCGCTTTCGAAAGACACTTCACAGCAACTTTGGCTGCAATGAAGAGTTTCTAAAGGTGCACAGATGTAATCTTGATAAGATTGATAAAGTTGAAGATTTTGTCCAGTTCTTGATTGATCTCAATTTTTCCAGTTATCTCAACTATCAGCACTTGAAAGATCTTGCTGGTGATGATTGTGCTGCCTATTTTTCTGATTATGAAATGATGTATCATGACATCCTCAGTAAAGTTTCTTTGTCACATGTTGCCTCTGTTTTTTGTAATAATCCTGATCTTGTACCTGGAGGAATTATTGGTTTCCCTACTTTGAAGTTTGAGTTGAAGCAGCCAAAGTCATATCCCACTTTACAAGATTGGATAACATCTCTTCATCCACAGTTGCCCTCTCACATTGCAACTATAGAAGCTGGTGATGACGCTGAATCCATCACTATCACATACACCATGTATCCCCCACATTTTTTATCTTGTGTGCTATCTATTCTTGAAGAATCAGAGTATGTCAAAGTTCTTTCGAGCAAAGACATTACCACACATTTGAAGCTCTGCAGAGTCGAAGGTATTATTGTGTACTTACAAAATTATTATAATTTATAATTTTCAGGACAATTAGAATTTTCTTCTACTGATGATGGTACTGGTGATGATGCAAATACCCAGCAGGTAATTTGTAACATGCATACTCAACATTTTTATCATTACACAGGATCAGACGAAGATCAAACCTGACATTAAAAGTAAATTGCAAAGCAAGTGGTTATTTAAAGCATAATAATGCTTCCAGTGATTCAATGCACTTGTTAGATAATGCATGCATATCACTATATGTTTATCATCATTTTGCATGATTATCATTATTGTTAAAATTCATACCAAGCTTGCTTGCATAAACAGAATCTTTTAGCATATAGTGTACATGGACACATAATATGTTGGTACATCTAATTTTTGCAAACCTTCATAACCATTTTTAGTATTAATTTTGTTTCTTATTTATTATAGCTGAAGAAAGCAAAGAGGCACAATCACTAGCTGCGATGAGACAAGTACGATTTTTAGTTCATGCACTTTTAATATTGATTTTCAAAGGTGGAAGCATATTCTGTACCTTTGCCATCTCAGATTCTGCATCCTGTGGGAATAAAAGAATATAAATGCCTAAGTGACCCAGCTTTTGTTCAGTATAAAGGTATTCACCTGAATTGATTACCGTATAGCTTGAAATTTTTGTGGAATGTAAATTTTGTGATTCTCGTGGTTATGGGCTGCCCACGAAATTTAAACCTACGAAAACATTGAAGTGCTATCCCCTTACAGGCTATGTAAACTGTCAACCACGAAAATTAAACCACGAATTGCCCCACCAGGAGCAAACCACGAAAATATCGACCCACGAAAATATCAAGCTATATGGTATTACATTGAATCTTTTAATTATTTATCACAACAGGTTTATTGTTCACTACTGAAGAACTCAAAGAAAAACTCACAGATCCAAACACAACAATAAAAGTTCAGCCAGCATTACTTTCATTCAGTGGCCTACCTCAAAGTGGGAAAACCACAGCTGTCACAAGATTCTTGGACAATTATGTTAAAGAAACCATCCTTGAGCCAATTAGCAGAAAGAATTATCGCCCAAAAGAACATGTGGGTATTGCTAATTATGATTTGATAGCAGTTTCCTCTTTGCCTGGTGAGGATTACGCAGTCTCAGAAGCAGCACAAGAGTCAAGCTTTGTGTTTGGAATTCTTTCAATTTTCAAGAGTATCACAAAAGCTCAAGGAAAATTACCGTTTATTGATGCCAAAGCCATACCATTGAAGTGCTTTGATAATTTTGAGTTGAATGAACATTTTCATCACATGTATGGTTTCTTGCAATCACAAGAGTCGATTCCAAAAAGTTTCAGTAATGAATGTGGAGAGCCTGTTGACAACTTTCTGGAATTAGTTCCTGATGGTATTGCTCTTGTCAATATTTGGGATATGGCCTCCAGCAACACAGTACACCATCTCTTATCAGCACTGGAGGGTTATCTCTTTAATTCATACCTGTGGCTTTTTGTTGATCTTCATGATGATCTTGAAAAGCTAGATGAGAATTTTGAGATTCCGAAACGTGATGGTGCTATTTTGTTGAAGGAGCGAACTCGCCTTCATTATTTGCTTCGTTCATGCTGGAGTACTAGGGATAATGAGAAGAAAAGAAGAGGAGTGTGTACCATGTTTGCCAAGCATAGATCAACAGAGCCAGCAGCATTTTATGACAAAGTTAATGAGTTAGAAGATAAAGTTCAGCCAGTAGCTAATCACATTGGTGTTTCAGAGCTCTTAGAGCACACAATAGAAAGCATCAATTTGGATATTGGTCACAGACGTCTTCATGAAAAGTTCCAGCGCATTCTCAAAGATAAAACAACGTCTGATAACATACCTATTTCTTGGCTCTTCCTTCGTAGCCTGTTTTATCGTTTTAAAAAGACATTTGTCTCAAAAGATGATTTGATGGAAATGGCAAAAGAATGCAGAATGGATGAAGACTCAGTTAATAAATTTTGCAAATTCTTCACATCATTTGGAAGCATAATTGATCTTAGTCTTGTCAATGCTAATTACAGGTATGTCATTGTTAAGCCTGTTACCTTCTTAAAGTTACTTGACAAGTTTTTCAATCTACAAAATGATGCTTCATGCAACCATGGCTTATGGAATCGTTCCAGAAAAAGTTTGTCGAAAAAGTTTCAAGGATGACTGGCCAATTTTCATGGATGCTCTTGAATGCCTTAATTTAGCAACACCTGTTACAACTCGTTTGCTACAAATGCCCACTGATGTTCCTCTTGAGCGTAGAGGCAATTACTACTACATTCCTCTGTGCTGCACTGGTCCTTTGATTGATGAGCCAGATCCATACTCAGTGCATCTCCTCACCAACATCAATACACCTCATTTTTTTAAGCAAGTGTCGTTTGCCAAGCAGCTGCTTGACACTTTGCCTGAGCCTGTACTGGTTCCTTGCAAGAATATGAACCATACAATCATCAAAAATTTATCTACTGAAACAACAATTACCATCTCATCTCACGTACCAGCTATTAAGCTGAAAGTTGATAAGCCAAATGAAGAAATGTGTGCATTCATCATTCAAGCCACAGAAAAGATAGCACAGCAAAGTCATATACCTGTGAAGTACAAGTTTGTTCAATTTTGCACTAAAAGTAGCATAATGAAAGTCGAGTCTCTACCTTCTGCTTTGTATCATCGTCTTCCAGAGAGCATGTGTAAGAAATGTCAAAAGGATGGGAATTTTAACAAGCTATTGTTAACAGCCTGGACAAAAGCATTGCGCAAGGTATGTGCAATTGTAATCATTGTCATTTATCAAGTTTTTTCTAAATAGAATCAAATACCAGATGATTTTAAAGCAACTGGAGGTGAGTATTAATGAGCCATTTTACAGAACTCTTAATGTTTTTTAGAAATTGGAGGTGCTGAGCTGTCTGAAATTGCAAAAAAAATTAGCAACATATCAACAGCTGCAGATGATGTAGAAGCTATAGCACAAGTTTTTGAGGTGACTAGTTATGAAAGCTCAGCAAAAGAGGGTCCCATTGCAAGCATTCTCATGAAATGGAGCTTTGGGAGGACAAACGGTGGTGACATTGAGCCAAGACGTGCGTTAGCACAAAAGATATATCCAGACCTTGGTAAAGCAATGTCAGAAAAGGATCCAGATGAGAAGGCTAAAGCAGCAACAGAACAAAAGTATGAAAAATTAGCGAAGGAGATTGATGTGTATTATTGTCCTTAATCTACTTCTTTATTGTTTTTGCTACAACTTATGCTTGCTATTACTTTGTACTTGCTATTTTTAAAATTAACATCAACAAAAATTTTTGCTACTGCTACTTAAAATGCTGCACTATTGATTATTTTTTATGCAATTAATAATCAAAGCTGAATCTAACTTGCTACTTGATATTGTTATTCTCTTATTGTATTATTATTATTAATGCTGCTGGCAGCATTAGTTGCTGATTCGCTGTTTACTTTAACAAATAAATACTTTTTCTTAAACAATGGTTTTGACTACAAAAATGATGAAAATCAAAAAGGAAAATGACAGTAATAATAATTAATAATAAATAAAACGCTGGAGCTTGTAAATACATCACAATAATATAATATATAATGTTCTCCAAATATAAATAGTGTATGGCCTGAATCAGTCAACTACAACAGTCCAGTCATGCTCTACTACTCCATACTAAAAACAAAGAACGTGAATAAAAAAATACAAATGGCATCACGTTATGGAATAGAGTGATCAGTGTATGCCTTCATACTATACTAATGCAAATGCATGCATTACTTGAATGTCTGTTAAAATCTTTTAG